CGGTCCTGCCACGGCACAGCGTGGCACGGCACAGCCTTCGTGGTGCCCTGGCACCTGGCACGGGGCATCAGGTGTAGTGATTTTTATCAGTGTTATAACTGTTAACACAACGCTAACTGGCAAGATGCTGCTATGTACAATTTGAATGTGGAACGCTTAAAATATTAATGATTTGAAAATGTAATTGGTAGATCTCTTAAGCAGTCGAGGAGCTTGTATTAAGTGCTAGCAATGTGTTTTCCTTTTAACACACCATGCAACGTGTAATGCCTTTCCTTCCCATTTAGGCTTGCCCGTATTCCCAGTGTCTCCGCACATGAAGAGCCTTTCATCCACCAATGCAAACAGCAAAAGGCAGGCTCAGCCAAGCTGTACGCCAGCCTCGAGGTTGGCTGCCAAACAGCAGAAAATTAAAGAAAGCCGGAAGACAGATGGGCTGTACACAGACGAAGAGGAGGATTTCCAACACGCATCTCTGCTGCAGAAATACAGCGAGTGTGAGAAGCCACCAGGGAAACGTCAGTGTAAAACAAAACACTTGGCACTGCAGGAGAGGAGAAGGAGGTCATCTCTGACAGGGGATGACACCACAGATATCGAAAATGCTGAAGATAAGGTATCTTTATTTAGACTTAATTGTCCACCAGCCTCTCAGAAGGCAGAGCCAGCCTGCTTAAAACTAATGCGCTGTCATGCATGCAGCGTAGCGGGATTGCATTCATTCGACTGTGGATGCTTTGCACGTTTCATATTTGTTTTTCTTGACCCGAGTTAAAGGTGCTGTTGCAGGGATTGAGGCATCTTCCATTTAAAAGCTGTAGCAGGTCTTTATTAAAAAAAAAGTATGAGTAGAAAAGCAGCATTTTTTTCTTTGCTGGCAAAACATAATCCCATCGCTGTATTGTAAAAATGAGGATTAAAAAACCCCCACGATAATGGTTTTGACAGGTCGCGGTAACGAGGAAAGTCAGGAAGCGACCAGAGCCTACTTCAGACTGTGACTCCTCGCCAACCAAGTCATATGAGCAGAAGCTGTACGATCGCCTGCAGCAGACTCCCTCATTGCTCCCTGTCTCACAGCCTTCGCAGCTGCCGGTCGTGAGCCCCCCTCAGGAGAGCACCCCGAGCCGGCCCATGCCACCCGAAGCACGGAGGCTCATTGTCAATAAGAACGCAGGGGAAACGCTGCTGCAGCGGGCGGCACGCCTGGGGTATGAGGTAAGGGTCCCTTGACGCCCGTGGGATTTTTGTGCTAGGTTTGGTTTTGGTTTGGTTTCTTATTTCAGAGGTTAAAACCCTCTTTGCAGCTTTATGGGTGGAAGTTTTGTGAAGCAGCAGCTTCCAGTTTGGTCGCTGAAATTCAGAGCCCCCCTCCTCCCGTGCTCCTTCCCCTTCCTCGACGTGTGGGTTCTGGTAGCAGGTCGCTGCGGGAGTGGGTCCCCACTGCCGTGGGGTCAGTTGGTGGGGATGCGGGGTGCACAGCATCCTGCGTGCACGAGCAGAGGGTAGAGTTTTATTGGTAACCCTCGCTTCCGTTTAAATATAAGCCATCTGCAAACAGAACAAACGTTGGTTTTGTTTTTTTTTTTTTAGTCGTCTTTATGGTGATCTTTAATGAGCTGTACAATTTTTGCTTTTGTTACTTGTGAAGAGCGTGTAGTTTAGGAGAAGGGTTTTATTTTCTTTTCTCCAAGGAGTATCTGGTATGTGACACAGGATGTAGCGCTTGGAGTGTCCTCTTGCATGATCAGATGCATGGTAGGAGCGCTCTGCATGCTTTATGCTTGGAATCTGGAGCTGCTTGGCAGAGCTGGAACAATGTTGTCTAATGAAACGGCCCCCCTGTTGCTACAAAAATCAGAAACTGATGAATTCACTAGCTCTGCTGTTTTGAAGCACGCTTTTATTGGGGAAATATGGGCATGTAGGTATGAGTGTCGTTGCTCAACTTCAGATCTGACGCAGAGGTGTTTCATTGCAGAGAGCGATGGCAGCCCTTGGCGCGGCTGGAGGGTTTGCCGTGGTGGCAAGAGGGCTGCCCAGACCTCGAGCTGGTCTTGAGCCCCGCACTGCCTTCCCATCATCCACTGATTGGGGATTTTGATTTCCTGACTTGAATTCACCCAAAATTTCAAGTGTACACCACTTTTTAAATAGGCCTAAATAGTCTGATCGTTTGACTTGATTGTTTGCCTGGCGTTGACAGCACAGCAGCGGGTCCTGTTGTGGTTGAGTGCAGGGCAGGAGAGCCCAGTCTGTTTACAGAGGCTGCTGCTGGGATCCGGCATGGTCTGTGTCTTTCAGGGCTCGGAGTGGTGGGTGGCTGTGCTGCATGTCGGGGCTCGTTTGGCCTCTGGTGAGCTGTGTGGTACTGTGGTCAGCAAGGGAAGCTGTGTAGCTGTAGTGCTTTTCTTGCTAGCAACTAGACTAACACAGTTAGTAGAAAGCTGGATTTCTTCTTGTCTCCAGAAAAAACAGAATGGTCAAGAAGTTACAAATTCCTCTATTGAAAAAAAAAAAAAAAAAGATGGGTCAGGGCTGTTTGCTGGTCTGTGACCTGTGTCAGCTGCACTCATCTGTTCTCTGCCGACCCCGTGAGCGGGGCAGTAACCTTTGGTGGCTGCAGCTCAGTGGCCTGGGGCTGATGCTGAGGTGGGAGTGCTGGATGCTTGTGTGCCCATGGGGGCTTCTCGCAGCTGCTGTGTTGGCAGTGGGCAGCCCTACTGCCCGTTGCCAGCTTGGTGGCAGGGGAGGAAAGATGAGTTCGCATCACCAGGGCCGCAGCTCGCAAAGGAGCTCTGCGTGCTGATGCAGGACTTGGAGCTGGAAGCGGCTGGGACCGCGGGGCACCACTGAGCCCTGGTGGTGGCAGGAATGGTATATGGGGGAGAGGAAGGGCGAAGCGGCTGGCACCGTGGGGCACCACTGAGCCCTGTGGGTGTAAGGAAGGCTATATGGGGCAGAGCAGTGCCAACAGCTCTGCTCTGAGACTGAGTGAGCTCATGCCAGCCCTTGGCAGCCTGCCTGCCTGCCTTTGCGGCAGGGCCCTGCGGCCGCGCAGAGATCCCACTCCAAACCCCGAGGCAGCGTTGGCACCTTTGGCATGCAGAGGTGCTGGTGTGCTGTGTGTATTGCTCCTGGACCCACTAGGAGCCCAGATGCTGTTAGCTCAGGTGCCTCTGCCCCACTCTCAATGGCACAGTATGGATGTACCCCAGATAGCTGCAGGAAGGAGGACACAAGCCATTATGGTTTTGTGTGCAAAAGCTGACAGGAGAGTGAAATGTTGAAGGAGAAATGCAGCTTGCATCTGGTCAGATAAATTGCAGGGCTGCAGCCAACAAGACTACTTAAAGATAGTGTGGCAAATGGTCTTTGGCTCTGCAAACCCATACAATCTCAGCAAAACCCTGTGGAAGCTGGTGGGAAGCTTTGCCTTCTCTTTGCTGGACTTCTGTGCCAGGCCTTGCTTCATCAGGGTGTCAGCAAGCCATCCCAGTGTATGGACGCTCTTGAATCCATTCCGTTTTCCCCACTGGAAAAAAATTACTTGAGATAATACCAGTCTTAAAACTGTAATTTACTTTTTGTGAAGGGGGAATTACAGGGAGCGTGAAGTCTTCTTGGGAAAAAAAATGGCAAAAGTGTTGCATAATGAATTTGATGGGAGAGGAAACACGCTCTCCTTGTGCTGCTTGTTGCTTTTTGCTGTGTGTCTGGACTTGGAAAGTTCTCTGCTGAATTTGGGATTAAATCCTGCCTGGGAAGGCAGTGAAATTAGAGGAACATGTGGTGTGTGTGATAGAGGTGGGGGAAGGATGGTGTTTGTTTCCAAGAAGTTTCCAGGGGGTCCTCATGCAGACAGGGTTTATCAAGGGGGAGTGTCTGCCCCTGGGTCCCTGGTGGCATGGGAGCAGGAGCTCCAGAGCATTATCCTGCCCTTGCACAACTCCCCTAGGGCTCCCACACCCTGCCCAGGAGCGAGCATCACTTCTGGGGGCTGGCATTTGACAAGGTGCTTCGGGGAGGTGTTAGGGCTGGATTTGTAATGCTTTGCCCAGGGGTCATCTTTCAAGGTTGGGTGGAGGGGAATAGCGCTTCTTGGTGGCAGGGAGGGTGCCCTGGGTGTAGGGGATGGGCAGGGGGACGCTGACCCCTTGCCTGGGAAAAGGGGCAGGAGCTGCTGCAGAGCATGGGTGGGAGAGACGAAGTGAGGGGCACCCCCTTGTAGGTGCACGTGTATCTGCCTGCACCTTTTAGCACTGCTGTTTGTAATTTGGCTAACAAACTGCAGGCAGTAGACCCATCAGTGGCACATATCTTGACTGGTGATGTGCTAGCTTGACTCTTTGAACTAACTGCGCGTGATTTTCAGATTGCTGGTTTAAAGAGAGCACCTGAACATTAAATTGTCCCGTGGCAGTTTCACAGCCTTTCTCCAAAATTACTGAGAGATGCTCATGAAACCAAAAGTGTGTTTGTGGCACTACATGTTCCTGTATTCGGCAGCGATGGCTTATTTTTTTGTAAATTGAATAAATCATGTTAAAAAAAGTTAATGAGGCATTTAATTAATTAACAATGTAGAGTTTTATGGTCTTTATGGTTACATTTTGTGGTTAATGACATTCTTCTTATAGCCTCTTAACACAGAATTGCCCGACAAAATTATCCGTTTCGTCCAGTAGTAGGTATTCCGCCCTAGAATGAGCCTTTCCTTTTTACAAAAATAGATGAAAGGTCTTTTATTTTGAGTTTCAGAATCTATTTTAACTGGTAACTGCATGCTAAAAGTGGAGCCGAGTACAGCAGCTGCTTCTGTTACCTATATCCATCTGCTAATTTGCCTGGCAGGGGGGTCTGATTTTGAAGGAAAATTCATACCTCCGGGGTGTAATTTTGCACAGCCCTTTCTTATGGGCTTGAGCAAGTGCAGGGTGAAGAACATCCGTTCTGGGTGAATTTTCTGCCTTGGGGCTGATGAGCAGGAGCATTAAGAGCCCCTCTTTGGTGAGAGGTGGGACTGTGGGGATCCCGGGTTAAACAGGTGGATGCATCGCACGTAGGTGGTGGACCACTCCATCCTGGTGGCAGGTGAGGGAGATGCTCTGGTGCCTGGGACGGGCAGCTCATTAGCTCCCCGCTTTAGACTGGTTAGTGAGGGCCTGCTAAAAGAGCAGCTTCATGCTGTATCCTGGATACCAGCTCTCAGGTCAGGGATACCCAGAGCACAGATTATTGTGGGCTTCCTGGTAGATTTTGAAATGGGAGGAATAAATGCATCGCACCCGGTGGTTCGCCCCCCCCACACTCTATCTGGCTTTGCGAGGACGTCGCTCAGCCTCCGAGAGGAGCAAATGCAAAATTAACGGCTTGCCACTAATCCTGGCACGTGGGGGCTATTTCATACGTGCAGCGTCACTTAGAAATGTGAGATATTTTTTTTTCTTTCACATCTCACACAAGTCGAGGAAAACTCGCAGCATCTTAAATTTTTGGTTGAGTGATGGAGCAGTCATTGTTTTAAGGCTGCGTGACAGCGCAGAGCTGAGTCTGGCCTAGGCTCTCGACCGTGGTATATTTGACTGTAAGATGAATTGTGTTAAATTCACATGGCTTCCCACAGCGCCGGGCTCGTTATTGGAACCTGGTGCCTGGCTTTAGTTCTGCATGCAGAAAACCAGGGTGGGTGAAAATGGGATTTCCCCGATCTTGATAGAGCTGGGCTTTTTTTTTTGTTTGCCGATAGCAATCTGTCCTTTGTGTGTCTTAAATGTGTTTTGTTTCAGGTCATGCGCTTTTTCTTTTTAAAATCAAACTGATGTTGGCTGTGCTGCTGTTGTGCTTGCAGAATTTTTTGCTAAAAAAAATGCAGATGTAAGAGTAAAAACCTTCCTGCTAGCTTTACACATGGAAGTTTTGAGAAGTGGAAAGCTGTGAGTTTTGTCTGCAGTATTTGTGCATTCCCCCTCTGTGACGATTCCTGATGCTGGGGGGCTGTGGGAAGGTCCCCGTGGGGCGTGGAGCTCTCAGTGCTGCTTCAGACAATCTAGCCTGCTCATGGGGAGTCCTGGTCTCCACTGTGTCTCCCGAATAAACACCTTTTTCAACACCTCCCTCTTTTCTTTTCCTTTTGACTGACCCATCTCAAAGAGGGTAACTTAGGGTAATTGAGCCATATTGTAGAGATTTTGTGTTTTGCCCTTTCCCCACTCACCTTTTCCTTCAAGAAGATAAATCCGTGCATCTCCACAGCAAGAAATAACTCCGTGTATCTGTTTTTCCTCCTATTTCCAGGAAGTGGTTCTGTATTGTTTGGAAAACAAGGTGTGTGATGTGAATCATCGTGACAATGCGGGTTACTGTGCCCTGCATGAGGCCTGTGCCAGGGGCTGGCTGAGCATCGTGCGGCATCTCCTTGAGTACGGGGCTGACGTCAACTGCAGCGCTCAGGATGGAACCAGGTTAGCAGCACCCCAGCCCAGCATCGGGTGGCCACCACCACTGGGCAGTCTCTTGTCTTCAGGAGTCTTCCCTCTGTCTTTATGCCTCTCCTTTATCTTCCACTTATCCCCCCCCCCATCCTGCGTGAACCCTCAAAAGAGGTAACGCTACCACAGACCTCCTGCAGGGTGTCCCCCTTGTTCCTGGTCCTTGAGCAGGAGCATGCAGGACCCGGAGACCTCCTCCAGTTAATAAAGTGTTGGGGGTGCACTTCGTTGCAACTTGAGTTCGGTGTAGTTTTTTTTTTCTTCTGGGATTCTTAACAAGTTGTGCTTTGGTTTTGAAAGACTTTGTGAAGTTGCCAGCTTCAGGGCAGGAAGGTGTGATACTTGAGCTGCAGCCCTGCTCGCATGTGCTCCAGGCCCTTCGAGTTGTGCCAAAAGAGTGGGCTTTGCCTTGTTCACAGGGTTGCTTTTAAGAGCACTTGAGGCTATTGCGGAGATCGGGTGTTCGAGACCTCTATAAGCCATGTAAAAATGTCGTTTCATTGAACTGTTAAACTGTCTGCTCATTTGATATTTCGGATTGTTTTGGTTTTTTTGAATCCCACATTAGCCTTTTTTAGTTTCCTTCACATAATAGTAGGGGTGCTTACTAGTTACTTGACACCAGTTCCTGTGCTGGCAGAGTAGATCAGTGAGCTTTTCGTTTTTGCTTTGTGGAGATGGGAATGCAGCTCACCACCTTTCATAAGCTTCTTGGGCATCTCCTAAATGATGTTTTTGACCACCTCTGTGGGGCTGACCTTGGGGTAACTTGCCCTCAGCATATGCAGACCATTATCCAGTCTATGCATTTTAGGGTCCAGTCTATGCATTTTGAGGACGGGTCTCTTTGTATTCTGTGAAGCTCCTGCAGCTTGTTATCTGAAATGGTTTATCTCATTCACTATGCCATCCAAATAGCCTGGGAAGTAAAATTAGCATAACTAAGAGTCTGCCTCTTTTGTTTTTAAGCTTTTTATTTATTAGCTTGGGAGGGGAGGAGTCAGGAAAACAAAAGTCCCAAAGGGGCTAGTTAGGATGGTCCATTGGAAGTTTCTGATGGTCCATCATTACCAGCCCATCACTGCCCAAAGGAATTTTCTGGAGAAACACTGAAACCCTGGCTGGCTTGTCAGATTCCTTCTCTATCTCCCACTGCTTTCTAAGAAGCCTCAGCTCTCTAGGCTGAGAAATAGCCCCGCGTTTTTCTGCTGTCCAGCTTTAATATGCGACCTGTGTAACAGCAGCGAGTTGCCGTAAAAAGAATCTTGAATGATTTTTGTCTCAGTTGCTGCAATAACTTTTATAGAAAAATAACGCCAGGAAGTTTCTGACCAGTCTTAATCACTCGTCAGTTCAGAGTCCACCTTTGATTTCGATTCACAGATGGAACTGATTTTCAAGAAAGAAACTTGGCTTATGTACCCTGAAAAGCTGTGATGAGGAAAATGCATGTTAAAAATGAACATAATAATGATCTGATCTTAGACGGAAATGTCAGAACTCAGCTTGAGGTTCCCTTTTTTTTTTCTGATGGCAGACTTATTTTTTGTTTGAAAAGTTGCCCAACAGACAGCATGAATACAAAACTCATCTAATATACAGATGAAAGATGGTCTAGCTGCCCTGAGTTGGTCAGGACAGAGAGCAGAAGCATCTGTAAAGAACTTCTGATCAGTGTTATCCCCTACCTTTTGGTAGGGTCAGGCTTCTCTGTCTCTGTGGAGTACTTCATGATATTCATAAAACAAATCCGATGAAGCCTAACTAGGTTTTTCTCCTCTAACTCTTGGGAGGAAAGAAGTGTCTGACTTCCTCAACTGTGTTGCTTTTAAAATTCAAATTCCTGAAGTCATTCACCCCTTGGAAAGACAGTAGAATCTTGAAACCAAAAAACCCCAAAGGAGCCCACTATCAAAAACTCCTCCCTCTCTGCTGCTTCTTTAGCTACACTGAATATGCCTCAGTGCCCCTTCTGTCCCCTCACAGGCCCACTAGCCAAAGATATTTCTGGTGATGCTGGAAGGTCCAGAACAGGAAAGTTCTGCAAAGTCCGTGCAACTCTCAGTCCTGTCTGAAATGCTGCAGGTGCTCCCACCAACACGATGGCCTTGCAGCTGTTCAAGTTTTGAAAGCGAAGAGAAGACCTGAGCCTCTTGCTTTGGTATTACCTTTGATGTACCTTTGCAGCCAGTCTGTGTTGAGTTCAGGAGTTGCAGTAGCCTTGCAGCCTCTGGTTCCTTACACTGTCAGAAATCTTGGTGAAGCCAAAAGCAAATGGAGCGCTGGACTAGTGGCAGGGCAGGACAGGGCAAGGAAGTGCTGGCGTTTGGGGTGTGTAGATGTGGTGCAGTCCTTCCCCTCACCCTCAGCTCAGCGCTGGGGCTCTGCCTGCATGCATGCTGCTGCCTGCAGCCCACCGTGTCCCTCTGCCTGCCCTATGCACAGCACGCCTGGCCAGGCTAAGTTCCCCCTTAAACTCAGTGCTGATGATGGCTCTCCAAATGCAGGGCCTGCAGACCCTGAATACACAAAGCACTCTGCTGCTGAATTAGTGGCTAATTAAAGATCATTGTAGAATGGGGCGAGATCTTTAAGACCTGCCTCAGCGGTGGCACAGTCACTAAGGGCTCTTAATCGTCTTGCCTATAAATAATAATAGACTGTGCTTAAGAGGTGAGTGCTTTCTTTCCCTGACAGGACCCTAGTAAGTGCAGTAGCTCAACAAGGGCTGTTCAGTGACCGGTGCCTGACATCAGCAAGGATGGTTGCTGGCAGATTTGGCCTTATACACTTGTTCTCCTCCTCTTCCCCTCCACAGCATGACCTAGGTGAACCAGCACTGCTTTAGAAACAAAGCCACAAGCCAGAGAGACAGGCATCCCCTGCCTGTTAGCAAGGTCCCTCCGTTGCTTCAGAGTTCGTCTCTAGACTTGCTCTCCGCAAGCCAGTTTTGCTTTATCCTTCTTGCTGGCGGCTGATGAGCTCAGCCTTTTTTATTTTTTCCCTGGGAGGACCATGCCAAGATGGCTCTCTTCCTGCATCCTTTCAGCGGGGCTTGGCAGAGCCATACCCTCCAGCAGCTAATTGCGTTAACGGAGAGGTGGCCGCCGTAGCTGCCCTCCTGCAACTTGTGCTTTGCCTCTTCCGTGGGGAAGTGTTGCATAACAGAGTAGATGGGAGTAAAAGTAAAATGCCAGGACACAGCACTGCTCGGTGAATTACGAGGCCTCTTACTGCAGCAGGGGAAATTCTGGTGGTGCCTGAAAGGCTGAGAGCAAACCCTGGCTGGTCTAAATAGTTTATAATTTTGGTGGTGGAATGATAAACCCCCAGTGAAATGTTTTCCTAACTTCAGTAGCGGTAAAAATAGTAGGAAGAACTCAACAGTACTCAAGAGAGGGTTGAGATGTGTGTCTCCTGTAGAATATTGCAGCTCTCGAATGTCCCCAGATCCTTCTGGGGCCTTTTGAAGGGTTTGTTTTAGAAACGAGCTGTACTACCATTAACTGTACCATTAGGGATAGAGAGTGTTTATTTCCACGATGCTCAGGGTGGAAAAGATTAGATGGGCAAAGCAGCCCAGGAAAGGACTCCCAGGGATCTTTTTTTCACATCTCAAAAAGTTGCCAGTAGTTGCTCTTGCATCCTACAAAGAGGATGGTTAAACTCTGCCAAGACTGAGAAGTACTCCCTCCTCTGCCGGCTCGGGTGGGAGAAGCAAAGGAGTAGCTGTGCCTTTGCTCGGTCCTGCTTGTGAGCTTGCCAAGAAGCTGTGCTAGCCAGTAAAAGAGTCTGTCAGCACTCTCTTATTGCCTTTTTCCCTCTGTCTTATCTATGGGGAATCGACTTTTTCTTCCCTGCCCCCCCCCTCCAGTGTTTTTTTTCTCCTTCCTTCACTTCCTTCTATTTATTGTTCTTCCTCCTTCTGCAAGACTTTACTGCACCTTTCCTTCCCCTTGCCTCTATAAAGTCTCCTCTCGTGCCCAGGGTGGCCTCCCTGTGCTCCAGCAGGTGACAAAGAACTCTGCCCTGCCTGCCACACCGTGCCAGGCTGGGTGACGCGCAGAAAGGGAAGGGGGTCCCTATGCTGGGGTTGTAGCCCATGCATTCCAATTCTTCCTTCCTGGGGAATGCCCAGGTGTCCTTTAATAAACTCACACGGGTGTTGTTAAATCGATTGAAACACTGGGTGGTGATTTAGATGCTGTTTTTAATAAGTTAAGGGATCATCTTGAATTCATTACTGCTTCAAAAGCCACTTAGGTAAGTCAATTTAAAAAGAAAAACAAAACAAGCAAGAAAACCCACAGACCAATAAACCCACAACACTCTCTTTCTACCCTCCCCAAACCTAGAAAATTCTAATTCTAAAATAAAATGGAAAACATTTGAAAATTAAAGACTCCAGTAAAGCGAGGGAGCGGGGGAGAAAAAGCGTCCCCAGCATTTTGGCTGCAGCCAAAACTCTCGTCTGTTCCTGGTGCCTCTTGCCAGGCTTTCAGCCAGGGACGCTTCAGGCCCAGTGGAGGCCAGGAGGGCGGTGGCCAGGCTGACCTTTCCCGGCTGTGGATGCTCAGAGTGTCATGACCCGAGGGCTCAGGCCTCGGGTGCCTGCTGACAGCCAGGAACACCCGGTAACTTCAGCCCCCCTGCCAGCACCCTTACTGCTTGCTGCACCTGGCGTTGTGTTGCCTGGGACATCGAGCGCTGGCCAGATCCTGGGCGTGCTGGGTGCTGCTCAGGCAGCTGGTGCTGTGGGAGCCCTGAGTCGGTGGGTGGCGGTGGGAGGCTGAGGCTTGCAGAGGACCCTGGGAAAGCTGCCTTCTCCAGCACCATCTGTCTCGGGGACGTCAGGTGGCTTCACTGCTACGTTAGAGACTTCCCTGAGAAATGGAGAAGGGATATCCTGACCCTTTGCAAGTGATCCTCATGGACCTCTCTGGTTTTAAAATGCGAAAGTGGCTTTCGAAGAGCAGCACATTGGGCTTGGAAGGTGTGCATGTGTTGTGCTTTCTGGTGCTGGGTGTCTCAGGAGTGGCACAAGCTGAACTGAGGACTGTGCTCAGTAGCGCGAGGATCACCTGCTTGTTTGCTGCGTTGGTGGCCTGGGGTGTGCAGGAGGCAAGCAGCGCAGGATAAGTCCTTTCTCCATAGGGGACAAGCACCAAACTCTCCCAAGTGCACCTCCTCCTGTCAACATGGTGTGCATGCACCAAAACCAAAACTGCATGCGGTGTTCCAGCAAGGTGAGGGCAAGTGAGCGTGCCTCACGTGTAACAGGCGTTAATCACCCTGAGTCACGACCTGCTGGGAACTACTTGGGGTAAACACACCTGGAACATCCTTCTGTTTGAGATTGATTAGGGTCTCCCTCCTACCAGCAGTGCTGTGTGATAGATGGGAAAATGGTGGTGTGCCTTCCTGTTCTGGCTGGTTTGATCTGCATCACCTCTGCCCTGAGCTCATGTGGATGCCAGCCCATACCAAAGTGGTGAGGATACTTTGCTGCGTGTGGCAGAAGGAGTGGTGGGACGTGGCCTCCTTGCAGAGGTTGTTAGCCAAGCATTGCTTGGCAGATGGGTAGATGGAGTTGAAGGGTTTGCTTGTCTGTGCTTCCAGATGACTCCTTGTCATGTCATTCTAAAAGCTTTCCAGGAAGGCAGTACGTGATCCTAGTTAAAGTCCTTCCTTCCTTCTCTTGCCTTTTAATACCTCTGTTGAAAGCCTTGTTGGGGGGCAGCAGTGTTGGCAGCCTAAGGAAGGAGGTGTGTAGAGTTGAGTTGAACTGCCATGGTTGCTGTCAGCTCCTCTGCTCATTGCCATCTAAGGGAAAGATGGGATTTTAACACATCTTCATTAGTCTGAAGAGTAATAACATTCCACTTCCAGACAACTCCCTGTTACGTACAATCAATTTTAAAGGGAAAAATTAATGCAATTTATAATTAGCGATAAGGAATTCTAAACCTGGAATTGCAGGCCATGTGTATTAATGAATAATCCTTCTGTAGGCTTATAACGTCTATGTCTGAGCTTGTACAGATGGCTCGTGCTGCGTAAAATGCGCTAACTTCTGGGTAGACTACACTTAAAATAACACGTTTTTCCATTCTCCAAGTAGAAGGGATGAATTGTGCTGCCAATATATTCACAAGTACTATTTAAAAAGGATGTAGCGTGGAAGTTTAATTCTCAGCAAATTTTCATAACTTATTTCTGTGTACATAATTCAGGTGCTTTGGGTAACTGATTTCTGTGCTCGCCCAGAGGCAGGCTGAACGAGCCCTTGCTCCACAACACGCTGTTAAATTGGTGGAGATTTGGAACAGTAGAGTGACTTACAGCAAAGTGATGTTTGTGAGGCTTCCTGCAAACTCCTGCTTTCTGTTGCAGCGGTGTAATTATTTTACTGGCCCTCAAAATATGTATGGCAGTGAATAGACGGAACAGAACTATCTGCCCCGAGCAGTCTGTGAAAAGACAAGAGGGGAGGGGGTGATGTGCAAGTAAAACTGACAATCAGATGATTGGCAGCTGTATTAATAGTGTTATTTGCTATAAATAACTTTGATCTGAAGTCAGAAGTTTCTTGACAAACACATTTGCATGATACTATTGAGTCAAAATTTAAGACCATGGTCTTTTTTTGTCCCCCCTAGACCTATTCATGATGCAGTTGAAAATGATCACTTGGAAATTGTCCGCCTGTTACTGTCCTATGGTGCTGATCCAACGCTTGCGACCTACTCTGGGAGGACCATCGTGAAAATGACCCACAGTGAGCTCATGGAGACCTTCCTCACAGGTGCATGGCCATGTGGCATGGAGCTTTGCTGGTCACGGCAAATGGGGGGACATTCCTTGACTTTCCAAAGTCCCTGCTGCCTGGCAGGGATGGCTCCATGCCAAGGAGCGTTAGGGTAGGCTGCAGTAGCTCCCTCTCTACCTGCAGAAGCCCCATGGCTGCATGTGGGAAGCCATGTCTGCCATGAGCCATGCATGGGAGCTCCTTCTAACGGAAACTCTTAACAAGTCATAAGGATTATGCCACTATCAGATTTGATAGGTAGGTTGGTGGGAGGCCAACAGACTGCTTTGGTGCCTTCAGTTTTCTGCTTGAAACGAAAATAGGAAGCTTGCTAAATCGAACAGCTGTTTGTTAAACAACATCATATTTTCCTGTGGGCTTGCCTTTATCCTTCTAGTACATACCTTTTTGCAAGTTCTACCTCATTTTATATCTGAAATGCTGTAAAACTGTTAAAGGCTCTTGCCTTTAAACATGTCTATCTTCTAACATGGTTTTATTTTTTTTTACCTGTTTGTTTGGGATAAAGGCACTTGCATTCCCTAATAACTTGCCTCTGAAAATGTTTTTAGTGTTCACAGTCAATGCATTTAAGTACTCATCCACTTACCTGTTTAAATGTTGCTGCGTAGAAAGCCTACAGGTGTATCAGGATGCTTGTAAAGTCCAGTATCTTGGACTTCTTAGCATCTTGAATCCCAATAGCTTTTCATCAGCTCAGCTAGCAAAACTCCCACATTATGTCTGTAGAAAAGAATCCCATCTTCTTAATAGATCGATGTGGAAAAACCTTTTCCATTGGTTTCTTTGGGGCTGCTGTTTCACCCTGAAGTTGGTGTCCACAATAACTGTGCAGGCTAAAAGGCTTAGTACATCCTACCTTTCACAAAAATAAAATGCCACTCTCAGTTTCTGAAGTTTAAGGTTCGGTGTGTCCCTTTTAGACTTTGGGTGATGATTTAATGTGGTGGGTCGTTATTTGGTGTGACGGAAGAAAGGGTGTAGGAGAAGGGCAAATTCCAGGAATATCTGTAGGAATGGTGTACATGGGTGTTGGTAGCATGGGCGTCAGGAATAAAGTGTGGGCTTTTTTTGATGGAAGGTATGGAGGTTGCGTAGTGAGACCGTATGACACACTTGCCAGCTTTTTGTTCTCATCAGTATGTTTTTGTTGTTGTTTTTTCCTCTCCAGAGTATTTAACTGACCTGCAAGGTCGGAGTGTTGATGACCCTGGTTTGTACTGGGATTTCTATGGCAGCTCTGTGTGCGGTGAGCAAATGTTACCCTTTATTTCTTTGTATGTGGAGACTTTGAAAACATGCAGCATGTGGGGCTGGGGGCTATTTGGTTTTTATGGTAAAGGAAGCTAGGAAGGAAGCAACTCATTTTATTTACAGGTCACATTAGTGAAAGAAAAAGCAAGACCTGCATCAGTCTCTTCCCATGCTGACTTGGCACCTTTATTCAATTTTATTTAGATCCAAAAGATGATTCTGGATTTGACGTCTTGGCAAATCCTCCTGGCCCAAGTGACGAAGATGAAGATAGCTTTAGTGACGTGTTTGAATTTGAATTTTCAGATGAACCTCCCTTGCCGTGTTACAACATTCAAGTGTGTCTCTCTCAGGGGTAAGAACAAATACAGGGTAAAAATAGCTGAGACGATCTGCTTGGGATGGCAGCAGTTTGTGTCTGTGGGGAAATGAGTTTGCATTTACCTAACGTAAACGAGAGCACAATACTGAAACTGCCAGGCTTTTTAGAAAGAAGCTAATGGAGGGTGAGAGGGGGAGCGGCTGACTTGTCAGGGCTGTGTTTTGCGTGCCATACTCCTGAGCTGAACAAATGGTGTTTGAACACAGATTCCTTCCCTCCTACCAGGCATCTTGGTGTAACATTCCAAAATACTTAGAACACTCGAATTTGGATCTCATGTTTGTGAGGTGTTCTTTATTTTATGTGATGGACTTTTCTGTTTTGCTGAGTGGACACACTTCTGTGGATGACAAAACGACACCGTTACTGCTCTTCTAGACGTACCAGCAAAACTGATTTAAAGCCCTGAATCCTATCAAAAAAACATCTTGCAGAAGATAATATGATACTTAATAATAAAGAGAGACCTGGAAAATTTTATCGTTATATCCAAGATATAAATTAGCTTCATAAACAGCTACTGTTTGTCATTTGCACCAGTTTTGATGACAGCCATGGGAAAAATAGTTTTAAATATTAATCATGCAGGAGTGTGGGTTTTAGCGTGCTTTTGTGATTTGGGTGATGGATATAACTTATGTCCCCGAGTGGACAAGACAAAGATTGAATTAAAACACTTGTATTCTTAATTTGAAGAAGAAGCCCTCTGTTGACTTGTATTTAATATTAGCATCTCTGGAAGTCAGAGGTGCTGAAATTTCTGATTATAAGTTTAGGCTGTTTTCTGACTTGCTAAATAGGAGTTTGGGTGAGCCGGGGAAACCTTTAACCCTGTGAGCAGCCATCGGGATGGGTGCTGACCCACGTGTCCGCTCATGAGCCCTGGGTGTATAGGCTCCAGTGCCCCTGGGTGCCTGGTCCCCCCCCCACCCCAAAGCTGTGGGCGGTGGTACTGTGAGTAAATACATACGCCCCTGCACGTCTACTACATGTGACACCCTCTGGAAAGTGGCCTTGATTCCAGGGAGGCTGTTTGTGCAGTGACGCTCAAGGAGCGTTTGTCACACAGGTGCAATGGAGAGCCAGGAAGGCCCTGACGTACCGCCGGTTATTTGAGCCTTTTTCTCCTTCGCTTCCACAGACCGCGAAACTGGCTTTTGCTCTCGGACGTGGTGAAGAGGCTAAAAATGTCATCTCGCATCTTCCGCTGCAACTTCCCCAATCTGGAAGTTGTCACCATCACGGAGGCAGAGTTTTACAAACAGACTTCCCTCAGCCAGTTGTTCTCTTGTGCTACGGACCTTGAAGCTTTTAACCCGGAGAGCAAAGAGCTGTTGGACTTGGTAGAGTTCACAAGCGAGCTCAAGACCTTGCTCGGCTCCTCGCTTCACTGGTTGCATCCACACGAGGACTCTCCCTTTGACATCCTCTGGTGAACCATCAGGCCATTTAATGTACAGTGCTCTATAAAGTTACTACTTTATGTATATGTGTTCAAATGCAATTGTTTCTGTAAAGAAAGGACACTATTAAATATGAAAATATCTTTCCTTTATATAAGAAATCTGAACTCCAGTTGGATGGATTTTGGAAGAATTTTTTTTTAAATTCAATCAGTTTTTACAAAATTGTTATATAATGTTTCTTTAAATGCACACAGGCTTTGGGATAAGTTTGTTATTACTCGGAACACTTTTTTTTTTTTAAAGAACACACCCACACATTGACTTTGTTTCATACAAAGCACTGATTACACAGAACATACTTTTTCTAGGTGATGTGATCAAAGTCATGTGGCTTGTTTGGGAGACAGAATTCGGTAAGGCACTTGGTGTTATTATTTTTCTTCTTTTGTTTACAGAATTACCTGCTTTGGCCAGGTAAGCACTATTGAATATAATTCAATAGTTTGTAATATAAATTAAACCATATCCATACACATCAACTAATTGTAAGAACTTTTATATCCTAATTTAAAAGCTGTGAAATTTAGTTTTCACACATCAAACCAGATTGTTTGTATATGTTTAAACATTTTATGCTCTTTATTTAAAGAAGACTTTGAACTATTTTTTCTGTACCTTGTAAAATATTGAAAAACTAACATATGTTGAAGTTGCTTGAAACTGTACATAAACTAAATTTTCTGAATTGTGTGTTTATGTTTGAGATCTGTGTTTTAACTTTGTAAGTAAATCTCCTGCCTTTGTATTTATATTTTACAAAAATTTTCTTAAAGGCAATAAAACTGTTGAGAAATGAAGAGGCTGAAGTGTCTCCCATTAATTCCGTGCCTAGTTGCAAGGCAGGCTCCAACTCATTAATGTTTATGAGAAGAGGCTCCGTGTGGTTCCCGAAACAGGGCAGAGCTGACAGAGGTGCCTGCCAGCAGCTGATGACATCTACCTCTGAGGTAGAGTCCGCACTGAAGCTCCAAATCCAAGGTTACAAGAAAACATCTGGCAGTTGCCTTTTGTGGGACAGAGATTTAAAAGTGACATTCGCCATACTTTCTACATTGCCTTTTAGAGAGTTGTGAATAAGTTCAGTTATTTTCTCTACTTTGTCGTTGTTTTAAGTTGAACCGACTGATTTCTCTTTTCAGTGGTGTCTGCGGAGGGGAGGAAAATAGTACCAGGGTAAATGCTTTGGTTTTAATGTGGAGCATTAAAGCTGTGAGCACACTCTGAGGGGATTGAAAGGGACGGTGACCAGAACATCACTGTTACACAGCTCAGGAACTTGCATCTAAGAGGTTGGGCTCCCTGGGCTCGGACAGACCCTTTCTTAAGGGTCTGGCTCTGCCCTTCCCCTTGTGGAAAGAAGTCCTTGCTGTGAACCCAAACTCCTGAGGTTTGCTTTTGGGATGTTTCTAACAGTAGTATATCCTGTGATAACCAAATGCTTCAGCTGAGATCTTTAAATCACACTGCTCTTCTGATGAGGTCTGGGACACCCACCAAAAGGCTCTCGAGCAGCGCACTTCGTCCATCTGAGGAAAGCATCTGGGGAAACCTTTGGAGCAGTGAGGCTCAGAGGTTTTTGATTGATGAACAGTGTATTGCAGGTAAAATCTTTGCACTTGGGGGAGCTTAAGAAAGGATGTGAATTACCCTCATCCTGAAGGTAGGGGAGAAAGACACTTCATCCCTAAAGGTGCCTCAGAGGGAAAAACGCAGGGCTGATGCTTCTAGTGGTGTGTTGCCATTGAGTCTTTTGGCAACCCTTTGTAGTGTGGCTTACAGTGGGACTGCTTCTAGGGGTAAGGTGGTTTTTGACTGAACCAGGAGGTGAGAGAGAGGTCCAACAGCTGTCTGCCGCTGGCAGCTGAAGTCCTAATTCCACATAGGACAGAATTCTTAGTCCTAGTACAACCACTGACGTGTTTCTCCAGACTTTGGATAAGAATGATGGTGGTATGTCCTGTAAGGCTCACACACCCACCCTGGATTTCTTTTTAAGCCAGCCTCCAGCTTTGCAAGGAACTGAACACAGACATCTCTACTCTCCAGTGCCGGCTGCTTTTACCCCCTGATTTTCCCAGAAAGCAGAAGGGGACCAGAAAACCTTCAGGTGAGGGAGAATGTTAAAGGGAATTGTTACAGACACGTTTATCTGATCAGCTGCGTAATGCTTGGATGGTTTGAGCTGAGCATAAATCAGCTTTGTCCTGCTTCCAGGGGTGCATGGCACACACCTCAGCTCTCGCTGTGCCCTGCAGGCAAACAGAAGATTGATGCAGCTTCCTCTTCTGGCCAGCTCCTCAAAATGATCTTGAGCACATGCTCTCCAAATGCCTCTGCTTAGTCAGCTTCCCACTGTCTCCACCGAGTACAGTTGGGCCTTCTCCACCCTGGCACTTGGGTCGCTGCTCAAACACAGAAACAGCCTCATGCTGTAGTAATGCAAGTGTCTGACTGTGCTGGGGCCTGTCTGCGCTCTAAAAATAGGGCCGTGGTGGGGAACACCTGATGGCAGTGCTGTCCCTTGACATAACACAACCATTTTATCTTACAGGATATACTTTTTTAAAGAAACTTTGCTGTGCGAGGGTGCTCGAGAGAGCATGGAGCACTCAGCGAAGGAGGAGGGCAGGATCCCATGCTGCTGGGCACACGAGGCTGGCTTGCCTTGACCCTATTGTGGGTGGTTTCGGAGAGACCGTCATGGGAGAGGCTGGCTGCATGCCTAGTTTTGCAGTAGGCAAACCCAGGCGATAGTTACCTTGGGGAGAGGCGAGATGGCAGCATGCCAGGAGGGAGCGAGCTCGGTGGTGGTGAGCATAGGCAGGGGAGTGGAAAAGCTGTCTGCCTTGCCGGCACCGGCGCTGGATGGATCCTGCATGGTGTGGAGCTGGGGACCGAGCTAGATCCAGCCAGCTCAGAGGCAGGGCAGGGCTGGGAGGGGGCTGATATTCAGCATTTCAGCTTCTGGACTCACACAGCTCTCCTTTAAAGCCCTTTCCCGTGCATCCTCCTTGGGTCAAAGATACTCGCTTCACACTGCTGGCATTGCTCCAGGTTAATAAAAAGTTCAGCAACAGAAATGCAGCCTTTGGGGATGGTAAAACCCTGCCAGTCCCATGCCCTGCCTTCTGCGAGGTGAAAGTGCAGTGTTGTTGCTGTTGGGGCCAAAGCCAAGGCGTTTCCTTGAATTTCCCCTGCTTATCACTTGGATTAGTCTGGCTGGGAGGTTGCGCTGCCCCGTGGAGGTGCTGAAGAACCATTGGTGCAATAG